TTATGCTTTGTTTTATATGTTTTATATGTTTCTCGGTTGTGGGCTTAGTGTTTTCGGTGGGCTTGTTTTGTTTGGGCTTTAGGTTAATTGGTGTAGTATAAATATGGTGTGTGTATAGCTATTCTATACGTTTTTGTGAGTTTGGAAGTCCATTCACGGTTGAAGAGTAGTTGAATGTACCTGACAATTGATTAATATAATTGTGTGCATTCATTGAAATGTGTTCATTGATTCATCTAATTGTTTGGTTGTTTCGCATAGTTGTTTGATTAAGATTCCGCATTAACTCAAACAATTGCATTGATACCTTGAGAAAATCCGAGTTTTGGGACTTACAAGTGGTATCAGAGCCTTAAAATTGACTTAAGGTTCTTTGGTATCAATTTTCGAAACATCAATTAGTTTGAGGTGTTTTTGAGTTGTATTAAAATTGTGTTGTTGTTCTTCGTGTTCATCATTTTCTTGGTGATTCTTCATTAATTTTGGAGGATATTGCATTGGAAATCGTTTTTGGTAATTTAACTAATTTTGGGATTCATTGGATAAGGAAACCCAATCACAACCACGATTTTGACTTGATCTCAGCGTTTTCGGTGGCTGAGTAACATTCTCGGTGAAAAGACTTGGGTTTTCGGTTTGGAAGAGTTTTCGGCCAAAACATTTAGTTCTTGACTAACTGTTTTCAGTCAATCTTTTGACATTCAGGGATTTCGGTCAAAATTTTGACCTTCAAGGATCTCAGTCAACAGGGTGTTGACTATTGGTGTTTTCGGTCAGAAAGTTTTATTTTTTGGTTTTCGGTCAGCCTTTTTAGTGAATAATGAGTTCTTCAATCACCAAGAAGGTAAATGAAACCTCATGTTCTTAATCCTGTGAAAACAAAATAAGTAAATACCGTGAACGCAATGAATTGTTGGTTAGAGAGGTTTTTGACCTTAAAAACGAAATATATGAAATCAAGAAAATAAATAAACCGCTTAAAGAAAAACTAGAAGCTCAAACAAAAAATTTAAGCAAGATTAAAGAAGAGTACAACACCAAATGTGTTCACTATCAGCTTGCCAAGGAGAAAATGGAAAACTTAACTGCTGAACTTGATGTATTGAAGGCTAAATTTGAAGATGCTGACTTTACTTTTAAGAAATTTGATGTGTCCAGTGAGAAAGTTGAGTCTATGATAGAAAAACAGTTAAAGTGGAAAGACAAACAGGGTACGGGTCTAGGGTATCATAATCTTTCCACCTCCTTTCAATGATAACTATACTCCTCCCCTTGAAACCAAAGAGATAGAGATTCCTACACAACATGGCCAACCCCTTGTAATTGCCCCAATCAAGACTGAACAATCCGGCCCAACTGAGAGTATTAATGTGAATGATTCTAATGCTTCTACTTCATGTGCAGTTAAAGTAACTGTGCAAGATGGGTTCGAGCAGAACAAAAATAATTCTAGTTCTGCTGAAACTGCTTTAAAAACTCGTGATGATAATAATCCCACTGTTGAAAAATTCAAGCCACAAAATTTTGCTAAACAATCTACTAGATGTGCTTGTGCTTGTGGAAGGTCTTTGAAACAAACTTCATTTGGACAAGGACCAAGTCACAATCTTATTTATTTGAAAAGACAAACTTGTTTCAACTGTGGGATTCCCGATCACATTGCTAGAAATTGCCCACATCGTTCATATGTTCCCTACGATAAACAAGGTTGGCAGAACGTGCCAAGGGGGAGATCTTCCACAAGAAATTCTTCGAGGTCACGTTCAAGCAGTGGTGATTTGAATGCTAAGAAGGCCATGAATCAGTCAGACCAAGATCAATAAGTTCGAAGTCATCTCAGCAATCGATTTCAAGCTCCAAAGCGAGTGTTGAAACATCCATCCGACTAAACAGGAAAATGGTTAAACCCGACTACAGATGGATACCAAAGGTTTCAATTCCCAAATCACCTAAGAATTCTAACGTGTCTTCATTTTTTGTGTTTGATAAACATGATATGACTTGGGAAAGAGCATCATGTGTTGATGGTAAAGGTCAACCCAGTTTCAAACTGGATTGGGTTCCCAAGACCAATTAATCATGTATTCAGTGTCGGAGCAGCTATGGAGGAATATCATCAGACTTCGGTATGTTGATAGTGGTTGTTCCAGGCACATGATAGGGGACATCTCTCTTATGTATAACATTCATAATTTTCATGGAGAGCATGTGTCCTTTGCGGGAAAAGAAAAAGCAAGATCACAAATGGGGATTTCTTCAATTGCTGAACTACGGTTTGAATTTTTTAACTCTTCTCTTCTCTGTGATAATAAGTTGATCTTCATTTGTCCAAAAGCCTAATTTTTCTTTAAAAAAAACAAGCTCGTGTTTATGGGATTTCTTAAGATCATATGTTTCGAAAACTGAAATTTCTTTTCAATTTTATTTAATATTTCTTATTATCTTCCATTTTGTTTGAGTAAAGGAATTTTTGTGACAATCTTATGGGAAGTGATATGAGTTAGTGATAAAGGGCAAACGAAATATGTGTAAAGCACTGAAGCTGAATTGTATAAACTTTGTGTTCAATGTGTTGGTAGGCATAATGGACTAAGACTAATGGACTAGACAATGTGGACTCATCTGAACTTAGAAAACTTCATTTGGACTGACAATACGATGCTTGGATAGGTTTAACAGTAAAATAGACAAGGAAGCCTCTGACATAAATTGAAGCTAACTATCATCTAGATCTATGGTTCAACACTTCATTGGCGTATGGACTCGTGTCCTTAATTTTGGTATTGATAGGGGGTGACCGAGGGGTTCTGATAACTTGGGTCTATTTAAAATCGTTATTTTTTCCTTCTTAGTCAGCCATCTGTTGTCCCTTTTGCGTGATCGGAAGATCCGACCTGGGACACAACATATGCCCTCAGATGATGTTCACTGCTTCTAAGTCAATATATTATCACCTACAAATATCAAATATTCTACTCGTTGTGTTAGTCATATGTTGTCCCCTCTACGTGATCGGTAGATCCGACCTGGGACACAACATATGAATTCCACAGTGATTATGTACTCACCTGAAGTAAAGGATTCTGAAGAAATTTCCTTGATTACTAGGGTATGCGATGAAGTGGGGAACATGTTCTAGTGTACTAACATTAACTACACCCATAACAAAAAGGATGACTAGTAGATTTTACTGGCTAAATTTAAGTGGACAACAATATCTCTGGTCGTCGTCAGACAAAATGGTCTATCTAGGAACATAGTAGCTATATATGGTCACTCATTATCTGTCCAGAAACATGTCATTTGTGTTTAAGTGGATCACAATATCAATGATTGACCAGGTTTTTCATAAACGTGTGTGCTGATAAACTTCATAAATTTGTTTTATAACGTTTGATCCCAAAAGTTTTTATTCTGGATTACATTTTTATTTTTATTTAAAGTTGTATATATTTTCATTGTTATACATGAATTTAGGGGGAGAGATAATAAAATAATAAAAAATAAAAAATAAAATAATAAAAAAATTAATTAAAAATATAAAATATAAAAATAATAAAAATAAATTAAAAATAAATAATAATAATAATAATAATAATAATAATTTAAAATTTTAATGGTGTGTTAAATTTTTAATTCTCTTTTTGGTTTTTGAAACGTAATATCAAAGAAAATAAAAAAAAAAAAAAAAATTGGGCTACTTTCTTTTTGGGCCGAAATCTTTCAGGTGGGCCATCTAGGCCATTTTCGGGGGTATTTATATACATTCTTCTCGGCTGATTAGGGTTTACCACTGAAAACCTCAATCCGCCATTGTTGTCCTCTCTCAAGCTTTCTCAAATTTTCTCAAAAATCCGCCTGTTTTCGATGTTTGTGTTACAAATTCTTCGGTGAATCAGGTAGATATATGGTTTTCGATCCTGGCTATGATGTTTAAAGTGTTTTTGGTGTACATGTTTCCATGTATTTGCAGGTTTCGAGTGGATTGTTCGAAGGTTTTCAAAAATTCTGAATTAGAACAGGTTCCGAGGGTTTTCGGTCTAACCTGGATTCAACCGAATTCGATTCAGATCTGACTGAAACTGGGGTTCTCGGCCGAAAACGTCTGGTCAAAAGTCTTTTGACTGAAATCGATCAATTTTGACCGAAATCGATGGAATTTTTTACTTTAACCGAAAACGCCTGAAGTCTTGCCTTTAACCGAAATCGATTAAATCTTTGACTTCAACCGAAATCAAAATTTAAACTTAATTTAATTAATTTTAAATCAATTCTCACTTGGCTAGTTTGGTGCAGATAAATGGCAGAGCAGATTAAATTTGTAGACTCCCACAATGTTGTTGGATATCTTATGGATCCACTTGCTGCTCATCAAGAATTCAAATCGATGTTGGTGGGTTTGAACAACTACATGATTTCTCATGCCCTCCGTGCAAATCCAGTCATCCACAAAGACCTGATTACTGAGTTCTGGAAAAATGCCTCAATCAAAAAACAGGGAGAAGATGGAGCTGGTACTATTGAATTAATGGTGAAGGGAACTCAAGTAATTGTTTCTGAGCAAGTTATCAGAGAAGTACTTGAATTTGGTGATGCATCTTCATTTCCAATTGAGTACTCTGTTGATCAAGTGAAGGAAGTCCTTGAGAAGATGTGCTATGAAGGAACCTATCCTCCCACCATCAAAAAGTTGCTGCCACCTTCCTGGAGGTTTCTGGCACACTACTTTGTGAGTTGTATTTCTGGAAGGAAAGGAGGATCTAATGAAATTAGTCAGACTGCAACCTCAGCTATTGTCGCTTTAGCAATGAACTGGGATTACAACTTTTCAAAGTTTTTTTTTTGAAGAAATGAAAAGCAACCTTCAAGGGAAGAAGAAGGGCCTATTTTTGATGTATCCTAGGTTTCTTCAAATGGTCCTGAATGAAAAATATCCCCAAATTGAGAGGTCGTCTGATACGTTGGACATGAAAGCTTTGGGTCCCAACACCTTTGGGCTCATGAAGCAATCAAGAAAAGCTGCCAAAGTCGCCTATCAAGGTTTGAAGGAGTTGGTTAAGTTTGGAAAGTTTGCTGAAGTTGAAAACAATGTTGTTGCTAGTTCCATTAATGTTGAGGTTGTCGACGAACACGTGGCACCTAAATCAAATCCATTTGCATTTGAAGAGGTTGAAATATCTGATGATGAAGAAGAAGAGATTCAAGAAAATGATATGACTGAGAATGAGCTCGAAGTTTTTCTGCAAAGTATCTCAATCCCTGAAGAGGATGTGGTTGTCACACCCTCTGCTGTGACTGAAAGAGATCGTGACTCAACTGTACAATTTTATTCACCTACCCCTGAATAGATGGATGCTCTTTTTGTTGAACTTTAGTGAACTACGAGGTAGCCTCCCCAAACAGTTCATGTTACAACTAAACCTCCATCTGAGAGTGATCAAGAAGATTCATCTCACGTTCTACTCCCGAGGAAAAGAAAAAGAAGAGATCCAAGACCTAGACTACTTATCATAGACCCTATTCAAAATGTATCTACTCCGATTGAACCTAGTTCTGTGGCCCAAACTATTGAAAGCACATTCACTGAGTCCTCTCTAGTGATGCAAGAGATTTCAAGCCCATTACCTAAATCCACTTCTATGGATCAAGATTTTGAAAGCCCCATTGTTGAAAAAGAAGTCTTACCTTCAGAAAGGGCTCAACCTTCTGGAAGCTCCTTTGAAGCCCCCGGGCTGGATAATTCAAAAGGCAAAAGCAAGCTGCCTGAGTCTGAATTTATGGATGTTGCTCTGCTTCAAAACAGAGTTGTTGATTTGGAACAGAGCTTAGCTGAAAAGGATTTGATTATTGGAAATCAGGACATTAGAATCAGTGATCTTGAAAAGGAGAACTCCATTAAAGATGCAAAGATTTCAGAACTTCAAGCAAATATTGGTGGTCTAACTGCTTTATTCTTTGACCTGAAACAACGCTTGCATCAAAAGTTTGATGGTGATTTTCAACCTTTAAGCGCTGAAGGAGAAAATACTTTTGCTTCTAGTTCTGGTCCAATCAATCCAACTTGTCAACCTGCAAGTGAAATAGTAGTAAGACCTGCTCCGGATGCAAATCTTGACACATTTTTATCTTCTGGTCCTGCTTCTGCTCAAGAAAGAAGAGAGAAATGTAGTGGTGTTGATTATGATGGCATGTGCGAAATTAGACAAGATCTAGTGAATCATCATGTAAACTCAAGAACACAAGGAGTAAATAAATTTGTGTAACCTCATATTAGATCTAGAAAGAATATACATATGGGTTTGTACACAGTTTCTCTCTCTAGTCTAACACTCCAAATGGTTCCTTACATAATGGGAGTCACT